CTGTCCCAGTTTCTCCTCATAAGGCGCGCAGACAGATGGATCGCACACTCGATAACGGGCTAACTGAAGAGACGATTTCTACTGATGGTCAGTGAGTCGAAAAGTGAAGCGTATCAGAATTAGTGCATCATCCGACTCAACGTAGATGGTCCAAAATGATCTGCAATTTTGTACTGAACCAACGGTGAGTAAAAATCTCAAGTGTAACATAAACGGTAAATTGCTTTGCATTCACAAGCCCTGAACTAAATCACAAAGTGATACTACAAAAAGTAAATGCTTACCGATCCGTATATTCATTTAAAGTGAACTCTGCTTATGACAGTCCGAGGATAATCAAAACAATTCACAGAAGACCCTCTTTGGCACACCGTTTCCCAACAAGCTATAGACAAAACCCGTAATTCTTCAGCCTCATCCGTTGTAGTTATGTCATATGTTGCAGCATTATTGGGGTGTATTTTTGTGAGCGATGTTTATTATGCTCGGATTGTTTATCTATCCATTTTTCGCGAACAGAGATCACTCCTGAACGCAAAAACAATGTACCGTTTGTGTTACATTTGAGATTTTTACTCACAGAAATATCGCATGCTATACTGAAACACTAAAGCTACACAAGATGTGTCAAATCGTTTGACGATACGGGCACATCAGTTAACCCTTCTCCAGTCAACATGTGGTGCAACACGTGACCCCCTCACATTCTTATAGCTTATCCAAGCTTTGCAACCTGGACATTTGTAGTAAATAATTTTTTTCAACATCTTGTGACCTTAGAATATACCGATAAAGTTTGTGCGTCGAGGTCAAAGGAGTACGGATCGTGGCTAAAGCATTGCGGGTTTCGGCTGAAGGAATGTGGGTTTCGGCTAAAACACTTCGGATTTTTGGTTAGAGGATTACGGGTTGAGGCTAAAGGACTGCGTGTTTTGGTTAAAAGTTGACGAAGAAAGCTGTAGTCTGCCCAGGCCAAAACAGGTGAATTTTCTTGGGGAGTTAACAACCAGAGCCTTCGACTATCCAAAGCCTGGTCCGCAAGGTAGCGGACCAATCTTTGAGGACCGCAATCCATTGGGGGCCGATGTCCAGTTCATCAGATCACACGCCCATTAGACGGGGTCAAACGTCCAATATGCCCAATACACCTCAGTGCCCAAATGAGCTGGTGACCACTGCCACAATCGGAAAGGTGTGTGGTTCGTAAGCCTCCTTTAGGTTATTTTGAAATCAAGATTTTTAGCCAACTCCCCTAGGTGAACTACCAGTGGTCCACCAACCCGGCTTTCGGAGGAAAATGGTTGCAGATTGTGCCACAGGACACCCAATATCGGTTGGTGTAACAGTCTGGAACAAAATCGGGTAAGCTACTCACAACGATCGTTAGGCGGAGTGTTTTAGCGAACAGCTCAGCTGGCCTTGTGTATTGAGGCGAACGTTCCATGGGTAGTCATGGAATCCTCCGACAGAAGTAGTAGTCTAGTTTTGCATTCCCGATTTGACGAGCTGAAAAGCAGTTTAACTTGAGGGGATCTCCCCACTCCCCACTCTTTACAAGGTGAAGGGTGATTACCTCTGGGGCTCTAAAACTGATTTAACGCACAACACCTGGTATTGAGTGCGTATTCCGTCATCTCAGTGTAGAATTACTCATCGGTCAACTTTTCAACAAGAAACCATGAAAGACTTCCCAAAAGAGCACGAGGTTCGTTTAATTCCTATTCGTCACCACCCAAACGTCAACGTCTGATACCTTTATGGGGGACCAAAATTCGTGAACAACAAGTCCGATTCCGACCTGGTATCGGATGTATTGATCAAATCTTACGTTACCTCAACTCATTGTGTCACGTCACACACTTGATCGACTAAGAATACCAGTGCTCCCTGATGTAATAAGGAACTTTCAACCCAGACGTCCTTCGCAAAGAAATGCCCCAGAAATACTTCAGTCGACCTGGGTTATTACACTGACAATTTTAGTGAGGTAAGACCCTAGTATATATAAGCTTGACACATCTTTTGTCAATAGTAGAGCTATTCTTCACAGGTTTCCTATTTTGCGGGTATTGTTTGACTGAATAGGAGAGATAATATTGGAGAACGGCCCAAAAGTTTGACATTTAATTGCCAGCTCGATGATTTGGAGTACGACAATGGAAGAGTATGTCTATTTTTTGCTTTCTTTTTCTATTTATTGAATATACAAATGTACAACCAACTTTCAGGAAGGGGGTTGCGGCCATATAAAGGCTGCCTGGGGGCGACGGTGGAGCGGTTTGAACCCGGGACACCTAGGTCACTAGTTGGTGATCTAACCACCTGGCCACCCTCAAAGTGCAACTGACAGACTAGCAAGTTCTGTTGTCCCTTACCGTCTGCACTTTACCCCTCCAAAGTGAAAAGTGATGCTGAAACGGGATGAGTTTTGACGTAGACAAGAGGTCTCTTTGAAGTTTGAATGTCGCGTATATATATATATATATAGGCTTGATCACAGAGGTAAGGTGAACCAAAAGGCGCATGACAGGACAACCAACCTGAGCATCGCCGGAGTCCTATGTCGTTTCATGCTTTTTCATCTCAGCCTAGAATGGATTCTTGTCGAGTCTGATCGACACATGCGCTCATTCCAATTGTAGCACTTGGAACAGAGAGAAGTGAATGGTTCAGTGTGAGTATGTAGGTGTGTATCTTTTGTTCGTAACGTACAATTCTGCAAATCAAAAGATACTAGGGAATCGTATGTAAATGTGTGACTTACATACAGAATAGCAGTACATATTACGGTTCCTGAGTGAATAAGTAAAGAATAAAGGGCTGGAGGTGACGGGTGTATCCGTAGCAAAAGAATTGAACAATAAAACGGAGCGACATGAGGAGAAAGGAAATGAGATGAGAAATGTGCACATGCACACAATCATACTACCNTACTACCACCACCACTATTGCTGCCGCGTGTGTATTCGTTTGCGCGTGTCGACCCGACGGGGCGCGGAATTTAGTTGCACGGGCAAGGAGTCGCATCCACAGTGACTATGAAAGGATTCCTTAGGTTACTGTATTAACCCTGAATCGAAGAGAGTTCAATCAAACTGTGAAAGTTTAGTTTTGAAGGTACAAAGCCCTGAATTGTGAATACACTGAGATGCGCTAAAAAGACGTAAAAACAGATGAGCCGGGATGAACGAGGTCTGTGTGTACGAGGGTAAGAAGGGTGACAATGTGAATGAGGATGGGGTGAGGGGTGGAGAGACAGGACAAGAACAACGTAGGACAAAGTGGATGAAATTCAGTTCAGACGGGAAATTTCGTGCGACCGATTGCAGAAGAAGTAGGCCGACAAATATTGCAGAGCGAAAATCGTGTGCGTGTCAGTTAGAGACCTTGATCAAATCTGTATCCACAAAAAGTGGATAGGAGGTAAACGGTAGTAGTAGTAGTAGTAGTAATAGCAATAACAACAACAACTGGTAGGTGTATTCGTTGTTGTCATCGTCGCGGTGTTAATAGTGGTAGTAGTAGCAGCACTGGTACTAAATGGCGATAACGGCAACAGAATTATCAAATTTGATAAATGTAATAGGACTGGTAATAACGATATCAATCGACCAGATGATAGTTGAGGGGCTTTGGGCAAACAGAAGTACGGAACGGGTGAACAGGAATCTGAGACTAAATTGAAAATAAATACAGTACAATACAATAGAATAGAATAGAATAGTGGCAAGTGAAGCAACCATCCATAATCGACGTTTCCAAAATCAATAGGATGGAAACAATGCTGGCGCAAATATGTGAAATTCAAAGAGAAAAGTGTGGTGCGTAAAGGAATCCCAGAGATAATCGTGTGTGTGCGTGTTTTCGCGCGTTGAACGACACGCGCACTTGGCAAACCAAATGAAATATTTTTTTAAAGACGTGAACTAGTCAAAAAGTGAACGGGGATGAGGGTGGAGGGCAAGGGACGCACAAACTCACCTGATTCACTACACGATTGAATAAATGAATGCGGGGGGGAGGGGGAATAGTGAAAAGAAGTATTGCATCGGAGTGTGACAATTGCCAACAGACAGCCGTGGACGGCATCACTTACTACCGGATAAATTGTATGGGAGAAAATAAGATAGAAAGAAAGAACAAAGTTTCCAAGTCTATGTAATGCTCGCGGATTTTTTTTATACATAGTCGCACACACACACACACGTGTGAGTATTCCTGGAACGGAAACCAAGGTACAGGGTAAAAGATCAGATTGCCGATGGTCATAGGTCAAGGGAACAAGAAACACGTGACCACATCGTTTACAGATGCCACCGTAAATGTGGAGTATGGGGAAAACAGTGATGCAAATTCAATGTAGCCTGATCCGACGGGTAACCATCGACAAATCGATCAATTAATCAATAATATAACATGTTGATTACTTGAAGAAAAACATGACCAAGAACAAAAAGGAAAGACAGTGACAACGCATAGACAACGGACATCAGCGCTGAACGGCAACCGAATCGACTTAGTCACAATGAGACATCGGCTAAGTATAGGAATAAGAGAATGAAGGGATAGGGAACTCAAAATGCAATTGCGCGCGAACCCCATTAGTTTGGAGAATTTCTGAGACAATTGATGATCCAGAGCAGATAGTGTTGGAATAAACTCCTCATATGGGTGGTTCCAAGTCGTCCAGTTTGTGGCGGCTAGCTGGTTGTCCGTTGCCTGCTCGTTCCAATCACCTCGTGCGTAGATACTAGTCAGGAATGGGAGTGAAGGGCGGGCGGGGGGAGGGTAATCACTAGGGATTGATCGTGTCATACAAGGTAACTCTTCACAATCACCAGGTGGAGCACAAAGACACTGGGATGTGGGGAGAAGCTATGCGGACAACACCTGCATGTGGTTTCTCAAAGACGCATATGCAGACGTGCATACACGAAACAGCGTTGACGATTCCTTTTGATGGGCAGGATTCACACTGTGTTTACACTGCGACGATCGAGTCATTCATAACTATTACTGTCGGAAACAGCAACAGCTCGGCGCTTTTGAATCGGTTCACTGGACGGCAGTGATAAATCCAATGTCCCATTTGATTCCGTCTGTAAATCCACATCCCACGGTCGTCGTTTCCAGTGAATTCTTTCTGGACCGTATTTTTCGCTAAGCCTACGGTCACAAAGACCAGATGAGACTTTGTACGGCGCAGCAGAGCTGCTATGAATACGAGTAGAGCTCTCCGTTGCTACGGAACACGACTGACTACCAGAGCAAACTTTATTGTTACTGGGCTCATCAGACGACAACGGGACGATGGGAGTCGTCGAAGAGGAGCTTCGCTGCGACGAGCTATACGAGGGCTCTTCTTCTGGTATTCGTTCCGGAACAGAGCTATCAGTGGAACCCAATCGGCGTAATTTACGCGCAATTATATCCGGGCTCACTACTCCGGATGAACCGGAGGGTGATGAAACGCGGCCAGAACCAGACGATTGTGCCCGAACAGTGTCAGGTGCTACGGTCGGATCAACACGTTTATCACCCGATTGTGCCGTACTGTTTCCAGTGCTGGTTGAAGCTGTAGGACAGGCCGGAGCACTGAACTGCGTCCGTGTGGGTTGCGGCTATAAATGATAAAAGAAAGTTTATTAGAACTCACACCACCAAAACACTTACACAGATAGTCGAAAAATCAATTGCACTTAGGCAACAACACTAAAAAAGTACAATGTGACAGAATAAACTGGTGATTTCGTTTCTTCAAATAAAAAGCGGATTTTCACCGCTGAACTCGATCATGAGTTATTCATCGCTGAAAGAAACTGCCCGCCAAATTCGTTAGGTGATCAACTAGAAGTGATGGTAAAACGATAAGCGGTTAGTTTGTATTTCACATTTCCTGACCCGCACCATTGTTTTTTTGGTTTTCTCCACATTCGCTGTGTCCTCAGAACACGGTGTACCCTCTATTCCTTAATCGATTGGTTTCGCGTTGCCCTTTGGCGTAACAACTGTGAAACTTGTAACAAACTGCAATCGTAGCAATATTATTGTGTTTTGTGTATAACTGTTTATAACTTTGTTGTATAACTTTGCACTGGAGCTCACATTTCACTTAAAAAATCATGCACGCTAACCGTCACAATGTACATGAACAACGGGGAGAAACGTTTTTACGGGACATTTCATAATCCAAGACAAAATTTACATATTGACCGCTCTTTGTTCATGAGTAGGCGAGCAAGATTCGGTATAGGTGAATTGCGGTAAACATTAATTCGAGATGAAGTTTGGCGGAATTGGGAGTGTTGAATGATGGGAACGACGTATCAGTTCTGCGTGCATCGGGTGGTCAGGAGCTGTGAGAAGCCTCTCAGCAAATTTCACACAGGAAGTTACTTGATACTCTGAAAGCTTACTCATTCATAGGAATAGAAAAGACACGGCTAATGATGGTTAGACCGCAGCGTAAGACTTTGAAATCTTGTTTGAGTAAGCCAGGAAAAATGACTGGGGAACAGCAGAGAAAGATGGGGAAAACACAATGATAAACAAAGGTAGAAATAACTGACTGGGATGCATGAAACTACCTGAGCTTTCGTATTTGAAATGATAGGCGCCGCAGTTTACTAATACAGTTGTGGATGTGGTTGACCAATGAAGATTGCTATCTACATTAACCGATGTTTTGTGGTGTTTTCATCAGTCGAATGAAGGAAGGGATTACAGTGCTTGAAATTGGCACAATTTATGACAGCAGACGTATACGACAGACAAAGATAAGTTACCCGATTTACTGGTTAATTGCCTACGCGCCCTGCAGAACATAACACAAGAGCAGTAGACAGATTGAATTGCTGAAAGAAAGATCGATGGTAATAATTGTTTGTTTGTGTGTGTGTGTGTGTGCGTTTAGGATGGCGCGCGTCCCATTTATTCCCAATCGGACTGATGAATTGACATTCGAAAGCCATAATGTCACGTGCAGCGGACAGCTCGTCAAGCCAACCAGCCAACCAGCCAGCCAGCCAGCCAGCCGGTCAGTTGGTCGACAGACATCGTGACCTACTTCTGACATTGTCCAGACAAACACCCAAGTTCACCCTTGTTGTTAGTGTGTTTTGGTGTTTGGAGAGCGGCTGTATCATGTGTGTAGCACTGGTTTGGTGGTGGTGCTTATGTGGGCGCTGCATGAACAGACTGTGCAAGAACGGGACAGTTTGGAAGGGGCGCAAAACAAACTTCGGCTAGACGGTGAATGCACACACACAACAAAACGAGTGCTGTAAAAACAAGTAGGCGCACGCAAGCAAGCACGCATAAATAAGTGCACAGACACACGAATGCCCTCCAGTCAGTACGTCGGTCCAAACAGACAAAACAAGCCCGAAAAACTGAGGCCACGTTCCGACAGTAGTGGTGGTGATGATAGAACAGAACTGTCTGCATCCAACACCGACACTCGCCCATATGGATCGATCAAATGAAATGCAGCAACTTTTCTGTCTGTCCTTTGAGATGCGCATAGGTTAGGGGTTTTCGATGATCGTTTGCAGCATGGCCCTGGTGCACACAGTTAGGTACAGACCTCGAGACAGGCGGGCATGAAAAAGCATGCAGACACAAACATACACGTGCCACACAGACAATCTGCCCTGAAAACAAGCTGAGGGTCGGGGGAGAGGGAGAGACTGCAACGCACGCGGCACATAAGTGCGATGTAATCACACAGAAAAATCAATACCACTGGGCTCCTGGACATGAATGCATGGTGAACACAATTAAATTCGATTTCGAAAAGCGCGCAAATCTAGGCAATATCACGAAAACGATCACAGAAAGCCATGTCATTTTACGAATGCATCTTAGGTGTTCTAATAATTGGAGGGAATGAATGTACCGATAAATATACGGTCCTTCAGAGGTTCTAATCCTGTGAATGATCAAGTAGTTACCCAATGATTCAGGACAGGGAATAGTTACGCGAAACAATACTGTGTAGATGCATTCGCGGCTAATCCAATTACCAGATGCCACATCAATGTCAGCAGGTCGATTAGGATTGCGTCTGCATATGTCCTTGTACGCAGTACACCTACAATACCGTCATTGTGCACTCATAAACAATAACCGGCTCGGTCAAAAAGATCCCAGGGGAACAGAAAGTTTGTCCGACAACAGAACTTGATGGACTGGGGACGACTGACGAAATAAAGGAACTCAAAAGTGACTGAATCCACTGAGCATTACGACAAGACTGCACACTACCTGATGCAGTGGGTTGTACATGTCTGTAACCAAGCTTCTCACACCGAAGATCCAACTATGTCGGAAAGGTTGAAGATTGCAGCAGTTTTGGTTGCCATCTCATGACAGCAACCATGATGCAGGAAAATTTCAACTGTTGAGAGCACAGTGCAAAATGGATAGATAGAGAATTCAAAAAGTTTTAGTTTCAGTTTTTACAACCATTAACCATGCATTTTCAAGTACCGGTTTACTTTCTGTCTTGTAGTTACCCATCTGGATGAAAGAGCAGGGAGACGAATGGAATTTTATGAACAGAGTTAACGAATATAGGGAATTAACACGGACTAAGGTTGCAAAGATGAGTAGATGCACGAGCGCCGCTGTTTGCGACACTCAACCATATCAGCGTCTCTAACAACCGGTTACCATGATCCGGCAATCCCCAACCAGGGAGCCCAAAACGACCTATATGAACCATTCTCGCGGTTAGGGTTTTCATATCCTCATGTCAGGGCTTGGTTCTATCACTCTCTATTTATTATATCCACGGCCTTCTTCGGCAAACATCGAGCGCCGTAGCAACATACTTGGTGACATGCACAACACGTCACGACTAGTGAACCCTATGGAGATTGAACACTTGCTCCACCGGACGACCGCGACTATCCAAAACTCTTCGCCTAAGATTACCTTTGTTTGTCAGATTTCCCCATTAAACTCGTGCAATGCGAAGTAGATAGTGGTGTTCAAACACCGATGATCTACCTTTATCCTGTGCCCTTAATGGCCAAGTCGCTCCACCATATGGTAGAACTGGCCGAACTGCCTCAGCATACACTCGACTCTTTGCAGACAATGCGTAATCGGATCTTGCGACAGCGCCAAAGGTGTCTCAAATTGACAAACTTCAATCGAGCCTTCTGTATTCCGTGATGCGTCCGTCAACTGAGATATAGCTGCACAAATAGCAAAATTTCGCCACTTCCTCTCTTACTTCCCTAGGTTGGGCGCTGAACCAATCCAGTCCTGGCACTCCAGATTCGGCTTGACCAGAGTTAGTATCTCGGTCCGCAAAAGTAACAGGAGGGGAGAATCTGTCCACGTGAATGGACTTCCATTTCACCTCATTCGTTAACTTTCTGTAAGGAAGTTGTTGGAACACAGGATTTTGATAGCGAACCCTAATCGTTCTCCTACTGGGTGGTTGAGCTAAATAGCACTACCCATCCATCAAGCCCCACTGAATACTCAGACCAACATTAAATAAATTCCTTTCGGGGAGCAAGCCCAAACGTGTATGAAACTATACAGTAAATAACAAAAAACGAACACACACGAGAGAGAGAGAGAATAAATCAGTGGACAACAGATCCCAAATGCTCACGTCTGATGTGCATGCAAAAGATCAACAGATTCGATGCAAGATGAAACCCGTGTGCGTTTCGGAGGAGAGGGAAGGTTCCCTCCACCTAATTTTGGGATGGAGAACTTCAAAATAAAACGACGGGCTTTCTGCGGACAAAGGCCATAAACCAACAATGACGATAAAGTGAAATGAAAGCCCATCACACAGATAAAACACATCGGACAGTACTCTGAGAAAGCAGAGGTCGATCGTGTGTGGTTTTCCGGTGCAAATAATTGCGTGAACCAAAAACTCGGATCTCAGTGCTGTCATGCCCTAGACTGGGTGAGTGTGAACGGTTGTGTGTGAATTTGTTTGTGACATGAACAATACACGCGTCAGCCGCATCTTTCTCGCCGTCATCAAGCACAACACATCAACTTCAATTGATATACAGTAAAAGACAAATCGTATTTAAATCTGACCCTTGCAAAGTACAAGGCTAGCTCTGTTTCTCATCGACCGGACTATTGCAACTGTCGCAACATTGTTACACATAGTGCTCATTAATAATGATAACCAACGTTGCTTGTATTTCTTATAAGAATTCACCTACTCCCCATCCAAAGCTACCTCTGCATCCACGATCGATGTGGTGATTACCGAAGCACATGTCAGATTCAACACTTACAATTTTGAAATAGGTGCACCACATTAACCGAATTCTCATCACCTTGGTGTCAACCACTAAACAGTGTGATTTGCGCGTGGTTATTCTGATCTACGTGCCTTACTTCTG